GCAAAGGCAGACTGGGAGAGATCATTGGTAGATCACTGGCTTTGGTGCCCTGTCTTGTGCTGACGGGCAACTTCATGATCTGCCTATGGAAACGGGTTCTAGCTTAGGACACAGCAGTGTGACTTTAATCTCTGTGTGTGGGGGTGGTGGTGCCTTTTGCTCTGTGCAGGTTAGCCCCAGTGCTGGTGGCTAGCAGGTGAACAAAGGCAGACTGGGAGAGATCATTGGTAGATCACTGGCTTTGGTGCCCTGTCTTGTGCTGACGGGCAACTTCATGATCTGCCTATGGAAACGGGTTCTAGCTTAGGACACAGCAGTGTGACTTTAATCTCTGTGTGTGGGGGTGGTGGTGCCTTTTGCTCTGTGCAGGTTAGCCCCAGTGCTGGTGGCTAGCAGGTGAACAAGCTGCAGCTGTGACAGAAGAGCCTTGCCTGAACAAACATGATTGTCTTACATATTATTGTCCCCATTACTAGAGTCAGACACGGCAAGTGGTGCCTAAAACCAAGATATAAGGGGCAGATATCAAGATTTCCTCCAAAAGGATGTAGTTGTGAAGGTTCTGCTGTAGATCCATAAATGTGTTATGTCTTACTGAAAGTAATTTTCCTGATTTTTTCCTATTTAGGTAACCAGTCAGTCCTTTACATAGTCTTTTGACAAAGATTGACTGAATGCAAAACCAATGGGTCTTGGTGAATTTTTGTTGTTTTTTTAAAGACTCCTTTCTTCCCATCCCTTCCACTTCTACTTTACTTATAAAGGAAACTGTATGTACACAGTGTGGATATAGCAGAAGAATGTCATTGTTTTTAAAACACTATCTTCTATTTCAGAGTCTTCGCCAAATTTCCCAGAGGACCATAAGCACTGCCTCACGCAGGCAGCTTGAAAATAGAGTTCCTGAGAAGCAGAAGCTTTTTCAGGTATTGAATGAGCACTGTTAGTAGAATAATGTTAGCAGAGTAACAGGGTTTCAGTAGATCATAATTGAATATGTTCTGTGTCTAAAGAACTGGTGAAAGTCCCCTTTGCATCTGAAGTGAGCTCTTGAAATCCGTTGTATGACTACAGTGTTTGAAATCAGCAGTTCTGTGGAGATCGAGAGTATTTGTACATTCTTGCTTGACTTTAGACTTTTTTTACACCGTGAAATGATTTCTACCTGAGTTTCTCATGAGTAGCAGGTACTATACAAAGATAAAGTACTCTGAAATGAGGTGGGGGGTCTATGTCATAAGATCAAATAGAGATAAACAGCAAATGAAGTAACAGAACTACTGTGAAAAGTTAAACCTGCATAGGTGAGCCCCATAATTCTTCATGAGGATGTGGTTATTATTGTACTTCTCAGTTACAAAACCAGTCAAGGTCTGAAAGGTTTAGATTCTATCCAAGAAAATGACTGAATCTTTAGAAATATTTTCTGAAATACTCTCTTTCTGACTAATGGGGCCACCTAGTGAGAGCTAGTTGTTCTTCAAATGCCAAAACAGCAGGTACTGAAGAGCATACTCCCAGTTGTGAGCCATAGCCTAGAGCAGTAGCCTCATGCTGAGTATAGAGGAGACTGGGCTTTAGCAATGTGAAAGGGAAAAAGTATGTTAGAAGCCCCAGTTACAACTTCGTTTGTCTTGTTGCTTTCCATTCCCCTGGAAGAGAAATCCAGTCTTGCTGGGACACTGCCCTAGAAGAAGAGTGTGTGTTGTGAGGCAGGGGAGGTGGGATGTTGGTGATGGGTGAGGTCAGAGGTTCTGTTCTTGCTGGCTGAGACCTCGGGGTGTCTCTCTTCCTCCTCCCAGTCTGTTCCTGTGGGGCAGCAAGTCAGGCTGGGCCGGGTTCTGGGCCAGCAGCACTGTGGGGTGACTTGGATCCCAGAGCACGTGAACTGGCTGGCAGGGGTGAAGGTCGTGTGGGGCTGGCACCCGGAGCTCTGCTTCAGGTGGGGTAAAAACATTTCCTGTGTGACACCAGGTGGCAGGAGAGGCTCCTCCCCTGTCTTCCCTGTAGCAGGGAGATGGGTGGGAATTTCTAGGGAGGGGAGTTGTATCCTGTGCCCCCGAGGGGGCTGGAAACTAGTGTCAGAAATGCTCGGGCATCTGCCAGGCACTGCTTTAGAAGTGAATGCACATCATTTCCTGTGCTTTCCTGAGTGAACACCTGACACCAGAGTGAAAGCTTGAGAAACAAAGTGGAATCGAAATAAGGTTCAGTGCCTTTTGGAAGCTGGGAAGATAATTTGGGGAAGTAATTCTTGTTCTGGGTAATTCTAGCCACACTAAGACAATTTTGCAAGATCTGTATTTAAATAGTTTCTTTTTGTCTCTTCTTTCCGTTAGGAGGATAATGGACTCCCAGTGTACCTTAAAGGTGGTGTAATGGATGGTCTGTTGTACAGAGTCACCATGGGTCTTACAGTTTTTGGTAAGGCTAATACTAAAATATTCATGCTTTGATACTATTTCCAGCATGCTAAAGCACCTCTTCTTTGGTACAGCCTCCAGCGTGACTGGTGTTTACACTGCAAATAAGTTAAGCAGTTCCCTCAGTTCTTTAGAACATGCAATAGTGAAAGTAGAGAGGGTGGAAAAAAAACATTTGAACATACTATCTATTTTTTTGTGCTTTCTGAAGTTTAGCTTTTCAGATGGCTGCTTTTCCCCTGACTAATAGTACTACAGGCTGAATACCCCTTCAGAATTCCTGTATGATGTCAGAGAAAATTAGAACTACTTGGAAAGCTTATTCTGAAAAGGAGTAAAATGTAATTATAGCATGTACATACACCAGTTTTCTTGCTAGCTTGACTTTTTAGTGCTAGGTGATACTGGATGTGCTGAATTTTCACATGCTGTGCAAACTAGTAGAATATATCCAAGCTTTAGGATCCTGTGTATATTTAACCTTTATGTTGCTTGTTACAGTTTTGTAATAACCTCGAACTGAAATATGTTGATGCAATGGATTTTCAGGCCAGTTACTTTCAGAATGCATAGCAATTACTTTGTGATCATCTGTGTAAGTTCCACAGACATGCCTCTCCACTTTTTTTTTCTCATTTGTTTATTTTTATGCAGTTTGTGGAGAACTATCTGAGGTTTTGTTTCTCTAAAATATGAATTGCTAAAAACAAAGGATGCTATGTGGCTACAGAAATGTGTTATGTCAGAACTGCATATTCATGTAACTGAATGCTTATTGTCAACATTTCTGCTGGAGCAAACTGGAAAAGGAAAGCTGACTTGAAAGGAATTCTCTTTACCATTCTGAAAAATCTCTTTTCTGTCTCTCAACACAGGAGGAGTGTATGCTGTTTATGAGCTTCTTGTCGCTTCGATGCCCAAGAAGCAGAAATAATTCCAGTTGAGGATGGCCCAGTGACTAGCATCTCTTCGTCCAATTCCATGTGGCTACAGTGGCACCTTAAACTTGTTATGAGCAGCTGGCTTAATGCTTGGAATCATAATTTAATTGTAACATGTTAACTGCAATCAATAAAGCAGTTTCACATTGTGTTGTGGTGGTCTGGACTGTATGATATGTTCTGCATTAGAGTGCTTTTTACTTCCAGGAGGTGTATGTTGAGCTGGTCAGTGTGCAGAGCTGTGGATTGTGAACCTCTTGTCTTTGTGTGTGGTTTATGTTAGTACTTCGGAGGAGAGTTAATGCCCTGTGTCCCTGTGAGAAAGCAATGTCTTTATTATAGGGATTGCCTTTTCTTGCTTTAGTGGAGCAAATTAACCTTATAATAAATTATTAGATTAAACCTGTTTTGAAATGGATGTTAAGGATGTGATGATTATGCTGTCAACTCTAGGAAGTTGCCTGTAATACATCCAGAAATAGAAGAATCCTATTCCTGATCACCACCCAAAGGTGACAGTTTTATTAGGCAGAGGTGATAACGCTGTCCTCTGCAGCTTCAGGGCTTAGAAGCAGTCTCAGCTGAGCTCATCACCTTTTTCTAATAGATTTTTTTTGTTTTGTTTTTCCAGTAGCTTTTCTCTGCTACAGTTTAATGAAACATCATATTTCATGAAAAGAATTAAGATTTCTAAGCATGTAAATTATTAGCAAGTGTTCATTTATCTTGCTGCACATGAAATCAGTGTAGATATATATGTAAAAATATAATGATTAAGACTTTGTGAATGTCAAACATTGCCTTATGTTTCAGGTGGCTAAAGCTAGCTTATTCGAGAATTTGAGGGTGTTCTAGAGCAAACAGTGAAGTGGAGAGGTGACACAGGAAGCTAATACTAACTACTAGTGCAGGGCTAGAATTCCTCTACTGATTGGAAAGGTTTACAGTGGCTGTTAATTAGATACTCTGGCAGCTGACTTCTAATTAGATCTAGGCTGAACTGCATGCTATTAAGCCAGAAATGCTGAAGATACTGAAGGCAATTCTTAGAAAAGCTTCAACTTCCTATTAATAATTTGTCATCTTTTAATGTTTTTTTGTAAGAATTTCTCCAGAGCTCTGTGCAACTTTGAGGATAAGTTAAATGGTTAGAGGGACTGCTTTCCGCCTCTATGAATTATACTTTTCTGTAGATTGAGGACATGTCTGTAGAGTAGGAGCACATTATTGCATAAGTACCAGGTTAAGTAGATTAGGTCTGAAACACTTGCAGCATTAATTTGGGTTGGGAGGGACGGTCTGAAGGTCAATTGGTCTGATTTGCTTAGAGCAGTTCTACTTCAGAGCTACAGTGGGTTGCCCAGGTCCTTGCACAGTCACATGGAGAGTATCTCCAAGGACGGAGATCCTACAGCCTCTGTGCAACTTGCTCCAGGTTTCACTGTCCTTCTCTGAGGAGCTTCTATCCTTTTGTGGGACATGGGAATACATGTGTTTAAAATGGGATGGTGAGCACTCCTGTAACACAGCTCTAATGAAGCCACAATTGTAGCCGACTACTTCCACCGAGATGACCATGAATTTCACAAACTGAAAGGGGAAAGCGGGTATATTTCAATGTCTTACATCAAGACCTCTCAGAAAATTAGGCAAAAACTAGGCATGGCTGAGTTTTAGGTTGCTGCTGCTCCATATCAGGGTGTCAGTAGCTGCTGCTTCTAAAGCTCAGTCAACACCGGCTTCTGAGAGAACTGTCAGACCCGCTCCAATGACGTTTCTGCTGCACACTTTCTGGCACCAATTTGAACTAAGCCTTAAGTTAGGTTATGTGCTTTAGCAGCAACTGTTTCACCAGCAGAACTGTATGGCAGCTCCTGGCATATGTAGAGACACAACAAGTGGCTGATAAAGCCAATGGTTTGATCCTGATCCTTTGCAAAGTCCTCCTCTTTCCACAGCTGAGATGGTGTCACGCAGCTTGCTGTGACACAAATGCAACTGGAGATCTATTGCCTTGGGAGGAGTAAAGTGTGATTGTGGTTTAGAACTGGGCAGTAATTATATAAATATATATAAA